GAGCAACAACAAGCGGCGGCAAGCGGTGAAGGTGTGGCAACGAGCGGCAGCAAGTGGCAAGTGGTGAAGGAGCGGAGGCGAGCGTTGAGCAATGGCCGACGACGAGCTCATGTTTAGACCTGTTTTGGAATTCAGGCTCGTTGTTCCCCTATCTTGCTTCTTCTTCGTCTTCCACAATCACTCCTCTGTATTCCATATGATCTTCCTCATTTGCTTTATTTTTTAAAAAATGCCAAATTTTATTTTAAAATGCCATTAAAATGGAATTTTTACTCTTCAAAAATGCCCATCTTCTAAGTGCCCTCCTTTTGTTTCACATTTTTGTCACACGATCAAAGCTCTGTTTTATATTTGGTGGTTCAAAAATTTCAACTTTATTCTGAAATGCCATAAAAGTGGCATTTTTACTCTTCAAAAATTTCATATTTTCCTCTCAAAATGCCATTTAGATGGCATTCTCGACTCATGATGGCAATCTGATAAAATCTTTGGCATAAGGTCGGATCTGCAACGGTGGACGCTGGTTATGCAGCAACGGAGGTTGGATCTGCAGCGACGGAGGCCGGATCTGTAGGGACGGAGGCCGGGGGTCGGAGGTGGCCAGATCTGGCCAGATCTACGGTGGCGGCGGACAGATCTATGGTGACAATGGCCGGATTTGTAGCGGTGACCGGTTCTGCGGCGGCGGTTGCCAAAAACCGGCGGCGGCGGCCAGAAACCGGCGGTCCGGCGGCAGTCCGAGCTTCTGTTGGGGGCAATTGGTTTTGCTAAGTTTGAGGGCATTTCTGTCTGGCTACAAATAATAACTCCTATTTGGGGAAATTTTCAAATTTAGTCCTCTTTTAGCAATTGATGATTTATTTACTCCCATTTAGGTAAATCCCTCTTTGTTTTAATTTGATCTATTGTAATTGTGTCGGCATGTTCGCCTGTTCGGTATCTTGAAATAAACTTTTAATATTCAAAAAAAAGTTGTATCAACATATTTGGCTAATTCAATAAACTTTTGATCGTTGTTATATTTAATTCTCTATTAGTAAAAAAAAATAAAAATCATATTATGAAAATTTGACTAACTAATTGACTAAGATGAATAGAACCAAACCGAAATTGAATCTGCCAAATTCAATGAAATCAGCACAACTTCATTAAATAAATTTCACTAAAATAGAATTAAGTTAATTGAATTGTCCCGATTTAATATTTTAAGAAAACAATTTTATTTTAAATAGAAATAAGAAAGCTTTACATTTTTAAATAAAGACATTATGTTTTTATTTGCTAAATAGGAGCAAACTTTAGCTTAAAAAGCATTGTCGACTATAGTAGTACACCGTCACTTTTAAATATACTTTTGTCTAGAAGTGCTATAAATTTCATAGATTAGAGTGTGTTGCCGCCATGTTAAAAATGTATTGCTATGTTTTGACATTGTTAGACTTTGAACGTGACAATATAAAGTTTACGAACTCAATACTGCCTCCATTCTACTAAAATTAGGACACGAGAAAGTGATGCAGTTATTAAGAAAAGTGAGTTTATGTGGTTAAAATTGAATTATTATTAAAGTAAAACTAAAAGTAAGATTGATTAAAAATCAAATAAACTTTACCAAAATTGATATTAGACAATCTTAGTAGGACATATACAATGGAAAAATGGTCAATCTTAGAATGACATAGATAGTAGGGAAAATTTTACAAATAGGAGCAAATCGTACTCATTTTCTAAAACTAAGATCGAAGATTAGCGTAAGATTCAACTAAACCTGCATTGACCATAATACTCTTACATTGGGAACGTACATCCCCTGAAGTAGGGGGAAAGCGTCTTCAGTTGGGGACATACGTCCCCTGAAGTAGGAGGAAAGTGTTTCCAGTTGGGGACGTACGTCCCCAGAACTGGGAAATTTCAAACTCAATTTACTCAAGCTAAAGGGGCAAATTTGGAAACTAATAATTGAGTTTTTTAAAATAGGAGTACATGTGTCACACGGATGAAAGAAACATTAGTCAGTCCTAATTTTGTAAAATTATTATGATTTGGTCCTACCGGCGACAATTTTTTGTAATAATTAATCCTATTTATGATATACATGTACACTAATACAATAGTCTTATTTTAAAATTGCGAAATGTTTGTACTGTTACAAATTTTGTAAATCATAACCAACATACCTAATAGATGGTACTCCCTCCGTCCCATTTTACATAGCCAAACTTGATTTTTCAAGGCAATGAAGTCTAACTTTGACCGATTATATGTTTATATAGAGAAAGTATTAATAATATGAAAATGATATGAAAATGTTCTTTGTTAAAAATACTATCATAAAAGTATAAAATTATTAAATTTTGCATAAATATATTACTCCCCAGTCTCGAAAAGGTTGGCCAAATTTGACTTTCACGTGGAATAATAAGTAAAAACTGTGTGGTTGAAATTTGTGCAGAGGAGAGAGAATTAGTTTTAGCCACATATTTCTTACTTTAAATGGAAATGACAAATCTTTTTTGGACATCCAAATAAGGAAACTTGGCTAACCTTTTCGGGACGGAAGGAGTAGTTTAAATAATTGGTCAAAATTTACCATCTTTGACTGCAAATTGGGACGGAGGGAGTATCAATTAGGAATAATATAATATTCAAAACAAAACGTGTAATTAAGACTGAAATGCTATATGCAGAGTATTTGTTACTCCCCCGTCCCTTAAAACTTTGTAAAGTTTGACTGGCACGAGGATTAATAAAGTAAAAACTGTGTGATTGAGGTTTATGCAGATGAAAGATAATTAAGTGAAACCACAAATTCTTTATTTAAAAGGAAAAGTGACAAAATTAATGAAACATTCAAAATTGGAAAGCTCCCAAAGTTTGGAGGGAGGGAGTATATTCCATAACAGAGAAGTTATTAGTAGAGAGACTTTGATTTGCCATCGAGAACAGCGGTCAACCGCGTGCAATGCCCACGGCCACCATAACTTTCCGTTTCATAATTTGAGCATTAAATGGCGCTGATGAAAATGTATTCAAATATATTCTCTGCAAAAAATGAGAGATCCATTCCCATTACTTTCATGGCCAACAACCCCTCGAAGAGGTTTCTGGGGAGGACCCCATTGCCGTACACTTCATTACTCTTTTTCCCGTTCCAAATCTGATCTTCTCCATCGCTACGTTACATAATAAGCTGGTGAAGGAAAAAATGGGCCGGGTGAAGAGGAAATTTCTACTGAGAACCGCAATCCTTCAGACGTACCTGACTCGCCTTTGGCACCAAATCTTGGCTCGCCGCGTTCACAGCAGGGCCGCCGTCAAGTACCGCCAGCTTCCGCGCTGCTCATCCACCGCTTCCACCTCCTTTCCCTCCTCCGCCGTATCTCTTCTGCCACCCGATCTCGACGTCGATTGTAGTTTCGCCGTCGGCACCTCGGCGCCGCCGTGTTTCGATCTCCACAAGGACGCGTCCGATTTGGTCTCCTTGAAGATTAGCCTCTTAGGCGATAACCAAATCGGCAAGACCAGTTTTCTGGTAAGTCTATTTTAACTCTTGTAGCATCTAATTGGATTTCTCGCGCTCAATTAGTCCGTAATATAGTTTGAATTTGATGAAAAGTTTATAATTGATTGATTTGTGTGTATGTATGGAAGACCAAATACGTGGGGAAAGAGAGAGCGAAATTGTGGTCTTCAGGAACGGGACTCAATCAGATGGACAAGACAATCAATGTGAAAGGGGCTCAGATTTCATACAACATTTGGGAAGTGGAAGGTATTTTATACGGAGTAAAAAATTTGTTAGATTTTGGAATTATAACTTGTATAATTGTTTTTAATGAACACAAATGATTTGAAGCCAAAATGAATACAAAATAGTGCAGGCACAGATTTTTCTTCACAGTATCACATCCATGCTGCCTGTAATGACTCTGTGGCCATGTTATTCATGTTTGATCTCACCAGTAGATGCACCCTGAATAGGTACCCCTGCAATTCCTCTTAATGCAAAACTGGGATTTTCTTCGATTTGATCTAAACTGATCGGTTATGAATTATCAAATTGTTGTTTTATGTTGGTGTAGTGTTCTGGGGTGGTACCAACAAGCCAGAAAATGGAATCAGGTATGTAGATTAAAACAATTGTGGTTTTGTGGTTGTATATGAAGGTTGAAGCCGATAGATCAATTTAAATATGTAACTAAATCTTGGTTAATTAACTTAATGTAATTCATCAGGCAGCAATTCCTGTTATTATTGGGACAAAGTTCGATGATTTTGTTGAACTGCCTTTGGATTTGCAATGGACAATTGCTAGTGAGGTACAATATATATTCTCATTGGACTCTTTTTAATAAAATAAAAAATAAAAGTGAAAATTGTGTAATTAGAAATGAAAATTGTGTTTGTGTGTGTGTATAATTAGCTATAAATTAATTACATGAATGAAATTAAAGATGAAATAAATGAGCAGGCAAGAGCATATGCAAGGGCACTGAATGCAACACTTTTCTTCTCAAGTGCAACATACAACATCAATGTGAATAAGGTCTTCAAGTTCGTCACAGCAAAGCTCTTCAACTTGCCATGGAAGGTGGAAAGAAACCTGACTGTGGGAGAACCCATGATTGATTACTAAAGTATATACACACACATTCAGAGTAGGACACCTCCATCCACAAATATTGTACATTGGATTCATTTAGGACATATGTATAGTTTGATTAGCTTCCCAGCAGATTCATAGTGCGTATAATTTACACAAGTCAACCGGTTGCTAGATTATCAGTTGTTATACTATTGATGTAGAATGTATATAAATATATCAAGTGACTCGGGTTGTTTTCATTTTCAATCTAGCATTCTTGTTTGGCGAGATTACATTGGAGGGAGATTTGTAATTTTAGTTTTGTAACTTTTGATTGTTTTTATTATTAATTATGCAAGACTTTACTCACTTGTAAATTTAATCCTTTAATCAATAAATCTTTACAATTTAAAGAATTCCCCTAAAAAGTACTCCATCATTTTTTTTGGAGAAAAGTATGCATTGGGAAACAGGATATTTTGGACTCATAAGTTCCTACCTCGGAAAACTATATAAGGGTTAAAAGTGGAGAGCGGGGGTTTGGACTTCAGAGTAGGGTTGGACTCGGGCCGGGTGGCCCGACCCGGAACCGGCCCGGGACTGGTACTGTTTCGGCCCGGCCCGAACCGGTGGCCCGGTCAGTGACCGGTCCGGGTAGGCCCGACCCGGTGGGTTTCCGGTCCGGGCTCGGGTCACCCATAACAACGCCCGGCCCGGCCGGGCCCGGGCCCGATTCGGGCCAAATTTATTTATTTTTTGGTTTTTTTCATTTGTTTGGGCTCCACCGGGTTGGGCTTGATGTTTAGAAGGGGTTTGGGGGGTGGGGGTGAGGGGGGGGGGGGGGTCAGGGATGGGTAGCTAAGCAAAAAAAAAAAAAAAAAACCCAAGGCCCGGTCCGGCCCGGCCCGGACCCGACCCGGACCCGGTGGCTACCCGGGCCAGTCCCGGGTCCAGCTATATAGAACCGCCGGCCCGACCGGGCCTAGGCCCGGCCCGAGTCCAACCCTACTTCAGAGGCTTTTCTGAGGTAAATTATATCCTACATCTAGTTGTACCTTGAGTATGGTACAGTCGGGTATTTTTGTAATATATTTGAAGTCCAAGCTTTTTTTTGGATAAAATGTAAATATATATATCCAAAGTAATCTTGTACAACATATACAAAATTGTAGGCTATCCCAAGTAAGGATGCCCTATCACCTCCAAAAAGATAAAGATCTAATATCTATGAAGCCCATAGCAAAAACTAGGTGACGACTATAGTTTCAACAAGTAATCATGTGGTATGTATACATGGAATATAGCACTTTATGCACCATAAATTTAATATGAGTGATCATATCTTCCACATTGTACGTAGTTCCATCAAAGCGTAGAGAGTTCCTTATCCTCCATATCCAATATGCACTAAAACAGAATGCTATCCGTATGGCTTTAGCTCTAATATGTGCTCCCTTGCATTCCTTTTGAATCCACTTTACAACACTCTTTAGCGAAGACATTTGCCTTGTCATTCCTAGTTATTCTCTTATAGTTTTCCAAACTTGACCTATAATTGAACATTCAAAAAATAGGTGTGGTACTGTTTCTGAACCACCCTTGTAAAATAGCAAACATTAGGCAAGTCAAGATATCCCAAGTTATCAGAAGTTGCTAGCCTATTCCGAAAGACAAGCCACATGATAAACGAGAACTTGGAAGGGATATACGGTTTCCAGATAAATGGCATCCAATCATGAGTTGTCCCTTTTATTCTTAATAGATCATATACCTTAGAAGGAGAGATTTTTCCATTGAAAGAGCATTTTCCAAGGTATTGTGAAGCCTCAGCTAAAGAGGGGAATTTGGAGACAATGGTATCTCTAATCATCACCAACCTTTTCATGAGTTGGGAGTCCCTATTGTGTGGAACAAACATCCACACATCTCTACCATGAAGGTAAACACCGTGAACTCGCCTAACCCAAAGTGTGTCTTGCTTTAGGTGTATATTCCACAATGTTTTAGATAAAAGAGCATTATTCCAAACTTTAGAATCTTTAATTCCTAAGCCCCCTTCTTCTTTAGGTAAACAAATATCTTCTCAGGCCACTTTGGCATGTCCCCCCCCCCCCCCCCCCCCCAATAAAAATACTCGGCATAAGCTCACAATTCTATCTAAAATTGTCCTAGGAATGGGGAAAATACCAAGCCAGAAGGATTGGACACCTTGCATAACTGTTTTTATCAACTCAACCTTTCTTGCATAAGATAAAGTTTTAGTATTACATGCATTAATAAAGTATGTGACCATGTCTATCAAAGGAGAGAATTGAACCACAGACACCTTTAGTGGAGCCAAAGGAAGAATCCCTGGTTAACCTGTTTAAGCATAGTCCCAGAATCAAAAAATTCCCTCACCGCAGCACAAACATCATCCCCAACTATTCCCCAATTAGATTTGAAGAAAGCTGAAGAATAACCATCTGGACCTGAGGCTTTATCATTGCCAATATCAAACAAGGATTGTTTGATCTCCAAATCAATAATAGGCCTAATGAGGTCAGTCACACTTTCCTGGGCCATAAGGTTACCCGAGAGCATGACATTGGCATTAAACCCCACAGATTGTACTTTTGTCCCAAATAAACCTTTAAAGAAAGCTATGAGTTAGTAAGACTCCCATCTTCTAATCGTATAGATGCAATAGAGTTTTGAGCATTCTTTTTCTTCACAATAGAATGGAAGTATTTAGTACATCTATCTAACGGAGTCAAGTGAACAACCTTAGCCTTGTGCTTAAGATAGACTTCCTCGGCCTCTTTAAGAAAAAGTGATCTTTTCTTTGCAATCAAAAGTTCTTCTCTAATAGCATCATCTAAAGGAGATATGAGAACTAACTGGTAGATTCTCTTATACTCCTTCTTTGATTCCTTTGCTCTAGCTGAAATATGACTAAACTCTTCTTGATTTAGTTGTTTAAGAGGCTGTTTTAGAAGTTTAAATTTTCAAGCAAGTCTAAACTGTTCACTTCCAATAACATTCCTATCCCAAACATTCTTTAAGATATTCAAGAATTTATCATGTTTGAGCCACATATTAAAGAACTTAAAAGGTTTTGACCCACCTTTATTTGATTGCCCAATAGTAACTAAGGAGGCAACATGATCAAACTCACTCTCCATTTCTAAAAAATGAGCTCGACATGCTACTCCTTGGCTACTCCAAAAAGAGTTTATAAGCACTTTATCAAGTTTTGCCCATTTCCACCCTCTATTCCAAGTAAAGTACTCCCCGGTAGAAGGAGCATAAAGGAGATCAATCTGAGAAGCCACCTCACTTATAACTTCCTCATCCCAAAGTTGCGTAGGGAGATGGGGAAGTTTTACCCAAATAAGAACTTTTAAAAACTCTTCACTTTGAAATGAGAAGTCCTCGGATAGTGTCTTTAGGTACAAAGACTTTCCAAAAAAAGAGTATGGGCCTTCCATTAGCACTTTTGTTCTATCCTCTTCATTTTGGAACCTGAATATAACCCACCCTCTATCATGTGTCCTCATACGACATTGGACACATCATTTGGATACTAGTTCTTGAATTGGTTTAAAACCGAGATACCTACCGGCAAAGTATCCAACTAGGCAATGACCCCATATTTCCACCATAGATTTCATCACTCCCATAGAAAAATCAACATAATCCCCTACGGGTTCAATATATCTCAATTTCATACCTTTCTCCGGCTCTCTATTGTCTTTGAAAAGGGAAGCAAATGACTTTGTGTTAGATGTCTCGGTGTCCTTCCATGTGAAGGTTTTTCCCAAAGCCGCGACATATAAATCACTAACACTTCCTCCCTGTTGAGTTTGGGGCTCGGTAAGAACCAATGCTTCACCCATGGAAGCCCCTTCATTAATGCCTTTCAAGAGGTTAACCACATGGTCAATAACCTCCTTTCCTTTATCATTAGCTTGCATCACATCGTCCTCCTTTTGAAGAGGTGAAGGATTTGAGTCACCATTGGCCTCTTCTAGAGCTGGCTCGGTTGAAGTATTCTTAGGAGTCTCCTCAGTTTCACTAGCATCTGATTCAATATCAAAATCCGTGTCTCTGATTTGTTCCATAGCCGAGATAGCTTCTTCCATCTCCTTCGCTTGAGCCTTTGCTTTAAGCCTAGAAGATGACTTGGTTGGGTACAGTGCATCTTTGTTTTTGCCCGTAACCTTAGGCATGATGAAAGTTGAGTTAGTACACAACAATTAAGTTCTACACCATGGAAGGGGAAGCTAGGAAAAGCCACCCTCCTCAAGGAAGTACCTTCGTAAGTTTCTTTGTTTTGAGCTTCAAAACCGCAACAATGGAGTCGTTGGTGAATAGTAACAATTTGTACGAACGTGATGGATGATGAAACAAAGTTTGATTTTCTTAATCCCCACACCTAGGAGAGTCCAAATCCACCTTCCAATTGAAATTTGATTGAGAGAAAGGGTGGAAAAAGGTGTTGACCTTCTCGTAGGAACAATGTTTGTCGTGAAGTGAATAGTGGTTTTTCAGCTCAAAAACTTTGAAATCAAGCTTAAAATTTAGAGATACTACACACCGAGAGAGATATGGATGTAATACAACTAAATGTAATACAACGAGGTATTTCCGAGTGGAGAAGAGCCAAAAATGCGAGTTCTTGAGAGAGAGAGCTCTCAACGTCTCCAAACGGAACTAGGTGCTCAACTCCAAGCCTATTATTTATGCAACATGCTCTCAGTACGTCAGTCTTTTTTTTCGCCGTCGTTTTCTGTGCATCTTTTCTCTTCGTTTCTTTTTTTCTTCAGTTGCTTTGACTTGTTGTTTTGCTTCTTTCTTTTTGTTTTTATTATTGTTGGTTTTCGTTTCTAATTTTTTCTTTAACAATCTTTTACTTTATTTTTTATTCAATTATTATGATTATATAAAATATTATTTATTGTTTGAGTTTGTTTTTTCTTTTCTCAATCAACCTTCTAACTTAAATTTTTAAATTTGTGCATTATAAAATTATTAAGAATTAATGTTTTTTTCTATTTTAAATTTTAAAATGAGTATTTATTAGTTTATTAAATATTGTGTGTGAACTACTAACATGAATTTTGTGTTATACAAAATATGAGTATAATTTATAATAAATGTGCATACACAATTGTTAATAACAAATCTACTAGATGTACATATTACAGGATTTATGTTATATTCGAATGAGTATAACGACTAAAAAAAGAGCACACAAAATTGAATATTTGAGCACATTAGATAATCCAAATGAGCTATTAAATTTTTCGATACTCATTCTGTAAATTATGTATCTTCATCTGATACTAGTTTTATGTTACTTTAAAATGTCATATTAATGCATATTTCAAAAGTATCATATTACATTCGCATACGAGTTAGATTATATAATGGGAACAGAGATCATGATATACGAGTTAGATATTCTCAACTAAAAATACTTATGAGTTTCATATAAATGCTCATTTTGTAAATTAGGTACGCTCAACTGCTACTCATGTAATGCTCATTTTTAAAATGTCATAACAATGCATATTTCAAAAGTATCATATTACATGTTGTTGGTCCAAAATAGGACGCTCGTAGGCTTTTAGGAAAGCTACGTACGACACTCAAGCAGGAATTAAGAAAGCAAGAACGAAAATGGAAAGTAGCTATGAAATTTAGTTGCCAGAAATAACATATAGAAATTGCCTCCCATAATCTGAATTACAACTCGCCTTTTATAGGCGTATACAAATCGTAACCGCTACCGATAATAATGACTAATTAATTACAACAGTAATACGGAATTAAATACATAATTAATAGTGTATTAATCGTTTGACCGTTACTCTTCCGGGATGGGAGGTCGACCGGACTGGCAGGCTCCCCGCTGGGCTGGTAGGCAAGCTCCAGGTTGTGGACTTGGATCCACGGGTCCAAGTTCGGGGCATGGGCTGATTAGGCTCCGGGCCTAGTCCCATTACTCCATCACGAGTCCCCCACTCCCTTAGTCGAGTAGTAGACTCGGCTAAGAGGGAGTAGTCCAAGTCAGTTGCTCTTCTCCGAGACTAGAAGATCCCCGCCTTGTCCATGTTGGGGAGATGTCTCATTAAAAACCTTCATTAGGAAAAAACCCGATGGGAAAATATTCTAATGAAGGGAAAAAGAGTACATCTGACGCCCCCATGATGAAGCAAGAGGTAAGATCCTCAACCTTTTATTGCAATGGTCACCATCTGCGAAGAGGATGGCTAGAACTGTTCTTCTCGTTGGGTTCGGACTCATCAGGCTCGTCTTCATTCAGTCATACCTGCACATAAAAGTAACAACTGTAGAATAGAGCATCTGGCCCGGTATCGAACCACGGCTCAGTGTGTAAGTGAGTTGGACTCACCACTTGAAAAGAGTGACACCAAGTTCCCAAGTTAGACCTCAACCCAGTCTCTGAAAGAAAGATTGAATCCGCAAGTAAGTGAGTCGGACTCCTCACTCGAATGGATAATCCGACCCTAACAAGAGTTTAACTCGCCGCCCGAGGTTAGTAGTTCGAACCCGCAAGTAAAAACTTTTGAACGGGTGACTCGTCCCCCGAGGCCGGAGTGTGATGCACTATGAAGAGGTAAGAGCACACGCAAGAACTCGTAAGAAGTCAAGAGTGTGAGGTATTAACATTTAGATTGAAGCTTATTAATCGTCACACCCATATGATGTGACTTGGTGGCGCGAGTGTGTGTGCTCAGCCATTGTACGAGTGTGTGTGCTCGTCCGGCGTACTTGAGTGATCAGATGTCATAAGTCCATTTTTCAATGTTAAAACTACACACGTTTAACAAGAGTAAAAGCAATTAAATCACTTAATCATTTATTAAGTAACTTAGCTTTCTTTTTGAAGTGGGACTATTAGAAGTGGCTCATGCAGGACCACCATTCCATGATTTTGAATCTTTGATACATCCTAACCCTAGTCCCGCTACTGCTAGCGGAAGAGCAACATAGCAACCCACATCAATTAAGGGCCATACTATAGTCTGAGGACGGCGACTCACTGTGAGAAGCGGAACTTCCCGCTTGCTAATTCGATTCGCTGGATAATCGAGGAAAGATCGACAGAGCAGAAGAGTTCTCACCAGCGACTGTGAGAGAGGTCAGTCTGGGTAGGTTAGGCCGGAGATTGGCAGGCCTGGCAGTAGCGCGACGGAGTTGGATTAGCGGACTACTATGGCATCTGAGTTCTTGCCTCGGTGACCGCCGTTCGATGGGGATCCATATTCCAGTTGCTCCGTGATTCCAGACGCAGTGAAGAATTGGTGAGGTCGCAGACCAAGGTGCAAGTAGCGTCTCCCAACATCGGTGGCAAGGACTGAGCCAGCGGTAGGCGCTTCAGCGCACAGCGGCGGTTGGGACGACGGTGACAGATCCGGCTCAGGAAGAATTCAGATTTGGGTCTTCTGGAGCAGTGACATCTTCTTCAGCTGCGACGCTATCGTCTCAGGAGCATATTTTGTAAATTCCATATTTTTTGTGTATTCTCTCATTTTTTCTGAAATTTCCTGATCAATTCCTACTCAAGCGATGTGAGAGACAATAGAGACTCTCAATGAAAGCACCAATGTTGGTAGAAAATAACCTGGGTAGAGAATTCGGCAGCATTTCATTATAGTGAAAATAACTTCCCAGAATACAAAGGGTTGGTGGCCTATTTATAGGCGTTTACAACAGGCCCACCAATTAGATGTTACATGGGCTTGGCCCGATTTATCAACTAATACTAACGCTAATGGGCCAGTCAACTCGATAAGTAATTCGATAATTCCGGACCAGTATCTGCTAGCCGAACTGTGTTCTGAGCTTGGTCAAGCCAAAGCCCAGGGGTAACGGGCCAATATTCTTGGACCTGGCTCATTATCCCAACACATGCATTAGATTGCATATTGAAATTCATAGAAATTGATTATAGATATAATTTAATGAGTTCTTATAAAAGAAAATATAAGAAAAAGAAAGTGAATTACAATATATGAAGTTGATATCACAATACTCATTATTCGACTCTTAATGCTCTGTAGCATACGTCTAATACTCATTAAAAGTGTGATAATGCTCATCTAAAGAAAACCATGATTTTCATTGAATTTATGAAAATACCGCCGTTTTTTAGTTGTGATATCAACTTTCTTGTAATAACACGGTGCTCATTATTAGACTCTTAATACTCATTACAATTGGACTATTGCTCATTAACAGTACACAAATGCTCATTTAGCAGAAATCGTGATTTCACATCAATTGCAAAAATGCCACCGACTGTAAGGTGCTCACCGTACGTACAGCCGATTGTAGGGTGGACAGACTCCTTTTCTGGCCGGACAGTGGACTCCCAAAATCAAGGCCGATGAGAGCAAGAAATAGTGTGCCTGCCGTGGGTCCCAAAAAAACCTTTATTAAAAAAGTGTTATTACTTTTTTATTTATGATTTTTTATAATCTTTTGATACAAATTAATATTGCATATATAAATAAAAACAAAGAAAATTATTAATTTGACCTTTGTACTATCACGAAAAAATAAAATGAAGTCAGTACTGACTTTGTTGACGTGGTGCACACCTAGAAACCTAGTCGGCCATTTATTGATGATGCGGCACACACATGGGCTGCCACATGTGCGCCACGTGTGCGCCACATGTGCGAGTGACTTGCTGACATGGCAGGTAGCTTGCTAATTGACCCTATTGAACATTTTTTAAAAGTTCGGGAACTTAATTGACTTTTTCGTGATATATAGTACGAGGACGAATTTGATAGTTTTTCTATACAAAATTGAAGTTCCAATAGCTGAAGCTTTTAGTTAAAAAACACGAAACAGTAATTTTTAATCCATGGTCCCTCCACAAACAATTGAAATTTACTTGAATTCTTTCAATTTTTTATTAATTGAAAAAGTCTAAAAAATATCCAATTGTTTTTGTTAACATTGAAACATGCATTTTTTATTTCAAAGTTACTAAGAAAATATCAATGAAACTATTGCTTATAATAATTTAAATGATATTATACTAATCTAATATGAAAGAAAATATGTTGAGTGAATTTTATTGATGATGCTGGAATAATTTAATAATCTTAATTTTGAAACACATCCAAAGTGAACAGATCGTGAATTCGAAATCTTAATCACAAGAATAAGGTCATTATCTTAATTTTTAAGTGTATGTCTCCACTAAACAAACATAAATTTTCCGACATATGTAAAGCTCTTCAAGAAGCTATAGGAAAAGAGAAATTTGCTCCTAGTAGGACCAAATCATAGATCTTTTACAAAAATAATACGGAGTACCTACTAATGTTTTTTCCATTCATATTACCTATTTAGTTCTAGAATAGGAAACCTATTTCTAACTTTCCAAATTTGCCCTTCAGGGCTTTGCTCCCAGATTCGCCGATTGAAGTTCAACGCCTCCGCCTTCTTCCTTGTTCGCTGCCCATTTTTGATTTTGCGGCCGTCGTCTTTCTTCACCAATTTCGCCTCCACCATCGCCGGATCTCCTTGCCGATTTCAGATTGTAAAGTGGATAGCAGGTTTTCGATCATCTCTTCTTCTTCCTCCTTCCTCTTATTCTTCTTCTTTTCTTTTCTTTTCTTTTCTTCCTCCTCCAACCAACGACATTCTCCTTATTCCTTTGTTTTCTTCTTCATTTGTTTTTTTCATTTCTATCTACAATCTGAAAACTCAGACCAGGAACTTGTAGGTTTGGTTTTTATTTTTTAATCTGACTTTTGTTTATTTATTGTCTACGTATTGTCTATCTATTGTCTATTTAATGTCTGTTATTTTCTAAAAGTAAGGGTATTGTAGTCAATGCAAGTGTAATTGAGTCTTACGCTAATCTTCTGTCTTAGTTTTGAAAAATCCTTACGTTTTGCTCCTACTTGTTGAAATCTCCCAAAGGAAAGCACATCATTCAATAGAATGGTAAACATGAATATTTTGAGTTAAACTCCATTGACCTAATGCGTAACCGTTTGAAAAGGTTTAATAATAGCTGAAGTGTTTTTAAATCTGATAACATTGCTAATATGTGATTGAAAAAGATGGACCTATATTAATGAACTTCGAAAAAGTTCTGTTTAAGGTAAAAAAAATTAAAAAGTAAAAGAATACTTCAAAAACAATTAAAGTTGTATTTGTCACCAACTTCAGTCAGAGTATCCAATATCCATCACCTCTACAAGTGTTATTATTAATTAACTCAAATACTCAATCAACGTGAATGATTAAGAAATAAAAAACTATTCGTACACATTTTTTATATGCAAAAAATAACTACTCATAGGCATATACATAGTATAAAATAGTGTACAAAAAGTGTGTAGAAGAAGAATTTTGGTTAAGAAATTGATTGAAAATTAATATATAAAAAATTACTCGCCCATACAAATGTCAACGCCTTGTCGACCATTTTCAAGTAGGTTAAAAAAATTCGAGTATGGTTAGTATATAAAAACGATCCGGTAAATTGGTAAAACCCGTAATGTATCCGTGAGATTTTTAACGGTCCGCTACGTTCCGGTTCCAAGGATAGAACCGTTTGGTATCATGTCGTTTAGGAACGGTACAAAATGGTACGGTACAATGTTAAACACATGCTAAATTTTTTGAACAAATCTTGCAATTAGTAGATATCATCACACCAACCAACTCACATGAAATGTTGAAAAAAATACAAGAAACTGCATACCTAGTACTAAAATTCACAAATACACAAATAGTGCAACACAACTAAGAAAAAGTATATCAAAACGATGACGCACGAGATAAATATCATTTTTAATTTACTAAGTTCATGTGAAAATAAAAAAACGAATATAATCAAATTGTTGAATATAATAGAAATCTTCAACGTTCTTCTTCTTCGTTCTATGTTAAATATTACTCCGTAGTTCTAATTTAATTTATAGTTGAACCTTGAGAGCTAAGATTTAAACCATATTAATTAAGTTATAAAAAATGCACAAACATTATACAAAAAAAAGTCATGCACACTACATTACTAGAAATAAATAATCATTAATGATTTCTAAAATTTTAATATTCTTTGAATACATACCAAAATATAACATAGATTATCTAAAAAGAAAAACTAACAATATATATATGTGTGTGTGTGTGTGTGTGTGTGTGTAGGTTTTGGTTCAAATAAGAACATGATCTTAGGAGAGAAATGAGAACGAATATGGACTGTTAGATTTGCTTTAAATGAAATTCAATGTGCATTAGATGAAACTGTAATGTGCATTAGGTGAAATTGAAATATGCAACACAACGCGTATGATACAATATCATTAAGTGAACTGAATTGTGAATTAGATGAAATTGAAATGTGCAGAATAAAAGGTACGATGTGATGTTATTTTTGTACATTTTATTCTGCACATTTCAGTTTCACCTAATGCACAATTGAGTTTAAATTTTTATTCTGCACATTTCAGTATCATGTAATACACATTTCAGTTTCATCAAATGCACATTTCCGTTCCGCATAATACAATCCAACGGTCCAGATTCGTTCTTTTTTCTCTCCTAGGAGTCCGTTTTTACCGGAACCGCTCCACACACACACACACACACACACACACACACACACACAGATATATATATATATATATAAACATATTTTAGATATCTTAGGGACACATGAATACAGACTTGGGGTATAAAATTGTTGGTCTAGATCTATTGATATAAAAAAATATAAAAAATTCAAATGCATTATTTACGAACGGTTCGGTCCGGTATTTTTCGGGTTCTCAAAATCTAGGATCGGTCCCGTACCCGTTTCAAACGGTACGGTTTCGGTACAGGATAAAAATCTATATATAGAACCGTTTAAATACCGGGTATTCGGTTCGGTACCATTACGGGATGGTTCAGTACCGGTTTGGTTCGGGTTTTATGCTCACCCCTAAGTATATTAGAAATTGCTCTAAATAGGACCAAAAACGTTTTGAAATTACAAAATAGGAATATCATGTTTTTTATTCCCTGAATAGGAGTAATCTGCCAGGTTTGAGAAAAAATGCCATGTTTTAAGCCTAGTAATGCCAAACTTGGCAGAAATTTACTCCTATTTAAAGAATAAAAAACATGATACTCCTATTTTGGAATTTCAAAATTGTTTTACTTCTATTTAGGGAATTCTGTCTAAGTATATTAATTAAACTACCTACAAAGCAAATATATCAAATAATCGTAGGCTATAGCAATGTTCTACGTTTGTTGTACTCAAAAGGCGTAATTAATTGGAAAAATAGCCTCAATGTTACCATTCATATTTAGATTTCCAAAAATATAACAACTCGTTTTCTAATTGAAAGAGACCTTTTACCTATTTCACCATAGTGGCTCCTCCTCCATTTTTCTTCTTTTGGATTTTTATGTATTAATTTCAAATAGATTGTTTTTCAACATTCAGAGTATTTTTTTATCATTTGAATATGAAAATGCGATTATTGTTAGTGTTTAATTAACATTATATTGAAAATAATGCTCCTTTTATGGCATTAAATTTGTAGTGTTATCTAAGGAATTTTCTTTCTTTCTCCATTTCTTGAAACTTTGTTAACCTTTTTTAGGTTGTCCGATTAACTTTGTCAATTTGCTTTTTAATTAAAGAATTTGTGGTTTCAATAATCATATCTTCTCTGCACAAATATCAATCACACGATTTTTACTCTATTAATACGGTGGAGGTTAAACTTGGCTAAGTTTTAAGAGGTAAATAGTATGGTGTTGTAAATTTGTAATTTCCATACACCAATTCATTTGAGCAGAGAGACATGAGCACTTTGATTCGATCTTGAATTGAAATACCACAATGTTGAAGGAAACAAACATAGTCACTCTTTTTCATAAAGAAAAGGGAAAGTTCCCGAAATAGGACTAAAATTGTTTCAAAATTCCAAAATAGGACTGTCATGTTTTTTATTCCCAAAATAGGACTAATTACTGTCATGTTTAGAAAATAGTGACATGTTTGAAGTCTGGTACTGCCAAAACATGACAATCCTATTTGGAAATTTTCAAACTGTTTTAATCCTGTTTCGGATAATATCTCTGAACAAAACAAAGGTTTACCGTACCATTAATATAAGTAATTATTTGCAAATTATTACTGCTAAATGAGTGAGTCATTTTTTATTTTTTCCACTTAAATTCGTCCTTCCGAATATCACAGTTTTACGCGCGCGAGTGATATCAACGGGACCCACAGCCAAGCCTAGGCGGCATCCTATTGGCTGGTGGAGTATGTTGAATTCCAATACTTCTCAATCTCCTCAGCATTTCTTCCAGGGATTCTCCCTGCAATTAGTGGCCACCTATTGTTACGAGCCATGAGGATATACCGTGTTAGAATACTAAATATTAATTGCATTTTTCGCAAATAACATTGAAAAGCTTTTTGTAAAACATTTCTTTCCGGTGATAACGTTTTTATATGTAAGCCCACATATTTAGCTAATTGGGGTTATTCTTCTGAGGAAAAAGGGACAAATAAGTCCACATACTAATCAAAAAAGGTTAAATAAGCTCTTATATTGGAGGCTATATCCGGCATTCGTCATTTGGGGCGGTTCCCGGCAGAAATTTTTGATGCAATTTTTTGAGCATATTATTCATTAAGTCTAGTTTACTCATACCAAATTTAAGCTAAAACTTCAATGGTAAGGAATTCAAATGAATTCTTGAAGATAAGTGTGCAGTTAAAAGCGTAGTTATCTTCAAAAATTTATCTGAATGTTTTCCCAATTTAATTGTTAGCTGAAATTTGATATGAGTAGACTAGAATTAATGAATAAAATTCTCAAAAAGTTTCATCAAAAAATTCCATCAGGAACTACCCCAAATGGCGACGGCCAGACAGAGCCTCCTATATAAGGGCTTATTTGACTTTTTTTCGTTTAGTACGTGGGCTTATTTGCCCCTTTTTCCTTCTTCTAATTGTGGTACAACTTCTTATAAAATGTAACCACCTTAAGGAGAATAAGTATGTTATGGGAAAACCCAAACACATTTTGCTACTATAATTTATACTCCCTCCGTATTTTAATGTTTACTACACTTTTCTTTTTTTGGATGTATTTAAAAATTTCCTACATGTTTTTTGGTAAGTTTTTCCTTTAAAAAAATTCAAGTGCCCTTACTTAAATTACTTTTGAGTTAATTCCCTAAATAGAACTAAAAGATGATTCATGTGCACAAATAGGACCAAAAATGAAACGTATGTGTTCATAGGACTTAAAATCACATACTTGTACAAATATGCCCCTACTCAATTTCTTTTGAATGAATAATTAAAAGAAAAATGTAAAATTAAAATGTTGAAACCCTAAATTTCAATCGTAACAAACAAGCCACCCCCGCCGCCGCACACTACCTCTCTCTTTGGTGCCGCCTGCCGCCACCCTTGCCGGCACTGCCTGCCGCCGCCCTCACCGGCATCGCCTACCACCGCCCTCTCCAGCGCCGCCTGTCGCCTCCGTTGTTGGATCTACCACCATCCTTCGCCACCACCACCATTAAGTTGGCAGGTTTTTAGATCTGCCATAAAGATGGCAGATTTTCGTTGGAAGATTCAAACAAAAATGCCATAAATTTGGCAAAAATATGAATTCAGTATCCAAATATTTGAAAAATAAAAAAAATGGAATAAGCACGTTAACACAATCGGAAATTTAGAAAACGAAGCTAATGACAAAAATTTAGAAAAATCGTTTTACATAAATGAAATTTTTCCATAATCACTTGTCAGTATACATTTTTTTGGCATAAACTTGGCAAAATCTGAAGACATCATCCAAAATTTTGGAAAATTGGCAATTATTTAAAAAATATGAAATCGGAAATTGTAAATAAAAAACAGAAATCCAAAAATTGGCAAAATCAATGTCAACATCCAGAAAAATAGAGAAATAGAAGAAACAAAAAGAAGAAAGAGGAGGAGGAGGAGGAGAAGGAGGCAGAGGAGAATGAAGAGGAGAACCTCAACGACGACGTGAGGGAGAGTGGCGGTAGGCGGTTGCGGTGTCTATGGGAGCGATGTGCAAAGAGGAATCCATTGTTCCTACCGCGGAAGAAGCGGATCTAGTGCGCATCCGATTGATTGTGCGGAAGAAGAGAGTCGAAGGCGACGTGAGAGAGAGGATCGGTCGGATGAAGTTGCTTCTGGTGCATAGGGGAGAAAGCTTCTGGTGCATAGAAGAGAAAGCTTCTGCTGCACAAGTAGATCTGATGCCTGGTACTGGAGGTTGGGAGAGAAATTTGGTCTACGTATGAAAAATAACCGTATGGGCAAAATTGGGATGCAAATTTCTTTATGTTTCGTAATAGGATTAAATTGATCCTATTTGGGGAAAAAAAGATAAGAAGTCTTATTTTTACATTTCAGTCTTGTTTTAGTCCTATATGGGACAATTAGATATTACTTTTTATCTTCTTTATCATACTGTTCCATCATCTCACCTACTTTATCTACGATATTCATTAACCCTATTATTTTATCCTTAAAAAATACACTAAGGTTTATTATAGTGAACATTAAAATACACAGGGATATAGAGTTTCCATCTCTTCAGAAAACTTAATTTTACCGACCTTTCTCCAACCAAGTTGAACATTCTGGCAATCAGGATTTCCTCATCATGTGAGAAGACAAGCTCCTTTTCTGAATCTTTACTGGTGACCTCGGCTGTGAATAACATCATAATTCATAAAAATTTATAGCTGTGCTTCTTGTATACATTTAAAACTTACATGCCTATATACACAATTCTCATAAAAATTCTTGCATCTTTTTAACCAGTTGTTTGCATGTGTATACAGACAATTAGGACCACATGGACATGTATAAAAACGTGTAAAACGCCTATATATAATGCAGAATAAAATAATGCAGGGTACATAATAAATAAAACCAATTCCAAACTGTTACTAAAAACAATGAACGTGTGTAAGTGTGTGTAGATATTAGTAACACTATCACGAACTGTAATAATTATGTTTATGTTCCATTTTACAATATAGTTACAATATATGAAAGTATATACAAACACATATAGTTTCATTAGTTTCAGGTCGTCTAATGAATTCAGAGACCTCGATTTCAAATGTAAAATCATGGCCCCACATTAATATAAAAAAGTAACAAAAAAATTTCAATCTAAATACTTTTTTTAAAATTAATTGATTACTCATTAAATAATGTAATTAAAAATTTCTAAAATTGACTTAATATTTGATTTAAAGCAACCCAACTCATTATTCAAGCAATTTGAGTAAAGAAAACTAAAATGATAAAAAAAAATGGTGAATCTATATTTTTCTTCCTCACAAACTATGTTTTACTGATTAGTATTAATTAATATATGTAGTATAATATTACGGAGTATTATATAATACTAATAAATTTTTAAAATTTTGGGGCCCCATAAATCCGGGAGCCCTGTTCTTCATAACCTATTGAACCCCCTAAAAACAGTGCTGATTAGTTTGTATCTTAATCCACAAGTAGTTTTCTTCATATTCATGGTTAAAGTTTATGGTATAAAAATCTCTTAGAAAAATAAAATCAGTGGCGGATCATTGTGAGGGTAGGGGTGGGCTCAAGCCCATTCCAATTTTTTATTTATATATTAATATAGGTATAAGTTTGATTAGCAGCCCACCCCAAAATTAATTCCCAGCCCAAACCTAATTCAAGTGTCCAATTATTCCACTATTCCACTCACCTGCGGCCTTCTGATCCTTATGCGAAGATTGAAGAACGAAGGTCGAAGCGGAGCCTAGCAGCTTACGACACAAGCTGACCTGCAGCCACCAGCCGCACTGTCGGACGCCGTCGCCCACTCGGCCGTGTTTTCTCTCCGGCTCTCCGCTCTGCCTATAGCTCCTGAGCCCCAGCCTCTAGGTGACCAGGTATACTCTAGCTTTAAATTTCTAATATTCTTTTAGACTTTAATTAATCGGATTTTCAGGGTTATTGTGTATTGTTGTTGTGTATTGTTATTTTCAGGGTAAGAGAATCAATTCGATAATTAATAGAATTTCTCAGTTCATAACAAAATAGTGTTTATTCATTATAAATTTATAATGATTAAAGATAGAATTAAAGATTAGAGAATGATTTATTTATTATACAATTGAAGAATATTGATTGATTTATTCATTGTGTGGACATGTAAAAAAGAATTTAAATTTTCAATTAAATTTTGAAATTGGGAATATTTATTAGTTTTATGTACAACTTTTGTTTTTTCTTATTAGTTTTATAATTTTATAGAAGTGTTTTAATTCATACCAATATTAAAAATGTTTTTTTAGAATGGATAATGATTAATGAACATATTGCTAAGAAAGGAAAGAAGTTAATTTCGTCATTCTTTCCTAAAGTGAATCGTCAAAGTGGTGAAGGAAGTTCTGAACCTGTACCTACGATAATGTAAGATCTACGAAATGAGGTTCCTCCACAAGACTAAATCCCTGAAATCCAAACTATCTCAAATTTGAGACTGCCTCCATCTTTTTGCATTAATAGATGTAGATTCTATATTATTGATGAATTTAATACTTTGAAGTCAAGTATGGCTCAACTTAAATGATGTTTTGATGAATACTTAAAGTGTTGACGACTTTCAGTATTACTATGTGTGTGTCTTCAAATTTTATTTCTCAGCCCATCCCATTGTAGACTTCTGGATCTGCCCCTGAATAAAATAAAAAATAAAAAATGTTTAAGGAACCTAGACTCCCTGGATAGTCGATTAAGAGCTCTGGACGGGCAACTAGATGCCCCAGGCCACCGACTAACTCAGCTAAGTATCAAACCCATTATTCGCGACGCCAAAACAAAAAATCAGGACGTCCAGGGCGGATCTACTAAGCCAAGAGGGGGCAGCTGTCCCTAATAAACCCTTAGTAATTTTTTTAATAAATATTAGAAGCTCAAACTTTTGCCCCCAATAGGAAAAATGAAATACCCCTATAACCCAATTCCTCCAGCAGCTTAGTTACGTAAAGCTGAAATTCATTAAAAGAGATGTGTTTGAAACTGTTACAAATAAAACTATAATGAATCTCTGTCAAAAGATGAAAACTGAGCGCGAACAATTGTGATGTATTTTGTTAAAACTTTTGTTACTGTAATACTACTCACATCCCGTTGAAAGGTCTCATGGCATAACGACACAATTTTTTTACTCCGGGGGGTCTGGGGGAGGGTGCTGAGGGAGAGTGAGTGACAAAACGACACGGTTATTTAAACAATAACTAAATAAGGTTGTTCAAGTATATTTTGAGAAAAAAATCATAGGTATATAATTTAATGGGGTTAGTGTTGATACTGTGATACTATAAATGTGTTACTTTTAATATTTAATGATTAATTTGTCATTTAAGATTAGTAATTATTTCCTAAAATGGAAATTGGAATTAAGAACCTTTATATGGGACGTCCAAAAAAAGAAAGTGAAAACGTTTCTATGGCACTGGGGAGTAAATGAATAATACATTAATAATTTATTACGAGTATTTTTTTCGGATGCAGTTTTTATTTACGTCTACCCGCAACAAATTTTTATCCTGGATCCGCCACAGGGACGTCATGCCACCACCTAACGTCTAGCTAGACGGGAACTAATTGAAAGCCTAGCGTTTATAACATTGTTTCAGCTAATGCTTCTTCCTTAAACTATTTATTATTGACAGTAGAGTCATCTAGCTTGACCTAAAAGTACAAAAAAAGCACCAGATCAGAAAGGCCCTACTAATCGAAGGACTGATTGATTCTAAATCACTTTTGAAGAAATGTTCTTTCCTTGGCAGAATCAAAATTTTGCAGAAAGTGGAAAAACAAGGCTCGAGTAACAATCAAAATTACAAGTTATTCCATACACGTGAAAAAGGAATGAGCTAAAGGTAATACCGGATAGTAAATAAAGTTCATTACCTACAGAATCCACTTGAACTTCAGTTCCACAAGTACTTGAATTACTATCCATGTCGTCCATGAAATTGAGAAAGTAAAAAACACAGATCAGAGAAGGCCCAAGGAAGAAGAAGAGAGATCAGAGGGCGAAAAAAAAGAAGGAAAAAGAACTAATGCAGAGAAAATGGATTTTTTTTTATCAGTTTCTATATATTTATGCAGTGAATTGGGACCTTAGCCTTAGCCTTAAATTGTGGGATGGAGAATGGGAGATGAAAAGAAGCCAAAACCATAGGATGAATGGTAGTTGTAAACGGGCCTGCGCAGCTACTTTATCCTTTTGTATGTGATAGGTTGGTAGTTGGGTGCACATATATATATATATATATATATATCCACTCTATTTTGTGTGGTTGGTCATGAACTCATGACAGGATAAATTAATCTATTTTCGTTCTGTATAGAAATGAATAACATACTCCTCTGTCCCGCTAACAATTGGACAAGATGGAATGACATGCAAATTAATAAAAAGTGGTTTATGTGGTTGATATTGAATTGATAAAGTAAAAATAAAGTAAAACTGATTTAGAGCCACACAAAATTTACCAAATTTGATATGTGACAATCGTAGCTAGAGGGAGGTAGTACTACTTATTAAACATCAGCATAAACCGACCATTTGTCTAATCAATTGGGAGTAATTAATAAAGAATGAAATGTCCCTTTCGTAACATGTGATTTATTAATCACATAAAGTAGTTTTTGTCCTTTCCCTCCTAATTTAATACTCCGTATATATCATCTTAAGCCCGTACGATGCACGGACAGTATGGAATATAGTTAATTTAAAATTTAATTTCTATCGGATCACATATAATGTGATTTAAAAGAAAAATAAACTTAGTCTAATATAGAGTTTGTTTGATAATACTAAAGCAAATAGAATTAACTTATTTTGTTGAAATTGATTGAATTCTGGTTAAATAGGTGAAATCTTCTCAATCATGAAAAATATATGTGAAATATATTCCATTTGTGAAACGAAGAAAAAAATATATGAAAAAAGTTATATTGGTCTTCTACATAAGCATCTCAAGTAAACATAATTGTTATGAACCCAATAATAAAAAAATTCTTTTTTCTTAATTGTTAGATCTTACAGTTTACTCATTAATAAGAACATTTTTAATTGAATTAAAATTTCGGGTTTGATTTGGTATGAATTAATATGGTCTGATGTTAGTCCCATAATTCTTAACAAACAACAAATATAGCAGTTATAGAAGAAGCAGATAGAAAGATATGTAGATATTATACAAATCTGGTATACCGTGTAAACTGTCCGCTGCTCTCCCTGGAGAAGGAGAGCAGCGGCAACCCTACTCTCTATCTTTACGCCTCTAAACTCTAAGCCTCTATCGATCGTTAGGGTTCCCGTAAGTTAGCCTCCTTTTATAGGAGAAGTTAGCTAACTTACGGGTTACAAGGAAGCCCACGGGCTGATACACATTTGTGGCCCGTATTACACGTTTAATTGATAACTACACAAATACAAAGATAACTAACTAGATTGAACACCATAAAATATTCCCAACAATCTCCCCCTTGGTGATCAATCGTGTTGAATCAGCATTGCAGCGCATATATCTTTGTCTTTGTTGTTATTGAGCTTCCTTTGTCTTTGAACTCGACTTCTGAGGAAGGCTATCTGAAGAAATCCTTGCAATCTCCCCTTTGATGTCTTCTTGACAATTTGATCTTTGATGCCGAGGGTTGAGGGACCTTCAGTATCTTGCATGTAGTCCTTGCCTTCCAGAAGTTGCTCTTGATCAGCTTAGATGAAGTCCGGTGACGCCTCTAGAATGAATGTTCTTTGGAGAATAGGAGACGCCCATGGAATTCATCTTCAGGACAGGAGTATTTGACCTCTGTCTCCTCCACAATGTAGTCTTTTTGACTATTTGGAATGAATGCATTTGAGGAGAACTTGTCGGTGGCACAGCGGAACATAATGATCGTTGATTTGTGAGTGTAGCTGACCATTTGATTTGAGTTGCGGAGATAGTAGAGAGGGTGTTGAATTTTGTGATGGAGGAGTGAGTGAAGTGTCCCAGAATGATTTGTTCAGTGTTAACAGCATGTGGACCACTCTCCCCCTCATGACGATCCGATGAATCGGGACGTCATGCTTTTATTCTTTTATTCTGCGGAAATAAAAACATGAAAAACAAGCAGAATCTAAAAAAGATAACGTAGCCCCCCAGGGTCGTGAAGACGCCCGTTATCATCACTATAGAGATAAACTCTAAAGCAATGGCCTGAAAATGTTGGTGATTCTTATGTTGCAACAGCAGGACTTCCTTCCAATTATTGGTCTACATCTGTAATAGATGAGCCCTATGGAAGTTCTCGCAAGTCTTGAAGACTAGCAACTGACTCTAAAATGTGTCTGTGTCCTAGAAAATTTCAAAACATTTGGGAAGTGAGTAACTAGACACGACGTGATCAATGAAAATTCAGTGGCATGGGGCTGAGGCCACTGTAGTCAGTATTACTTGCCTCGGAAGGAGACAGTAATGAGAGGTGCGGTTCCCCGTGAACTATGATTAAACACCTGTCTGTTGGGAGACAAGTGAGTGGTCTAGGGTAGGGTTGTGCATGCGCCGTTTGGACAAAATGCAGCGACTTCTACCCGGGATCTGAATAAATTCAGTCCTGAACCTATGGGGATAGTCCAGAGTATTTTAGTGGCTAGGAGCACATGTTCAATTCATAGCAAGCAATTGAGGTAGCAGACTCATCATTGATAATTGTTTTTCTTCTCACTTGAGCCTTCTGCTTCCTAATGCTCATAATGTTCACTCACTCACTCGCTCACTTACGCACTTACGCTCGGCTTTGTCCCTTGGGTAGGCTTAGTTGGGTTTACTAAGCCATAGGGACATGTTCTCTCATTACTTTCTTCATTTTCTCTCTGTGCTCCCCCTCAACTGGAGCACCCGGTATGCTTTGTCATTGTTAGGCACCGGGGAGGATAACATTGAACACTCCCCCTAGAATGTTGCATCCGTTGAGAGATTCCTTGCTTTGTCGGTGTAAGGCGCCAGGAGGAGAAAACTGAAACTCCCCCTCAGAATGTGCAAGGATTGATTGCTCACAGCTTGTCATACCCGCCATGTGTGTGGAGCAATCTAAACATGTACCACACATGACGGTTTCCCTGAACTCACCATGTAGAATTTCAGCATATTGATGAACACATAATGTTGATGAGTCAGGGGAGGCTTCAGCAGTTGATTGTTGATTGTTGTAAGATGACCGTTGACGCGAGGTTGATTGAATTATCTACGATTTTCGGACCTTTACATTGAAGTTTAGAAAAGTTTTGACCTCAGGGTTGACAATGAAAGAATTTGAACAGATTTGCCTAAGTTTTGACCTGGACATCGGTGATTTACAAAGTTTGTAGGAAAACTCACGTTTTGACCCTCAAAGACTGCGATTGAGGGCGCGTGAAATTAGTTTCTGGGTCATAGCCCCAGAATTAATGTAGATCTTTGCGTTAGCTTTCCAACAAAAAAAAGTTTGCTCAAATCGGATCACCGAGTCAAAAGTTATGGCCAAAACAGTGCGGTGTCGCAGAAAATCTCTAATTTTGAGTTTTTGAGGAAAATCTTCGAGGTTGAGGTTCTCGATGTTGAATTTCGAGAGCAGGTGAATTTAAACAAAATTCTAAGGCAAAAACTCGAAATCCAAATCTGGAGATTTTAATTTCGAGTTTGCCTTGAAGAGTAATGACGAAATCCACCTGCAAAACAGACCTCAGAATAACGGAATCTTCAGAATTTCAAAATGTTTGGAACCTCGAAAACTTTGGAGTTTCGAAAAATCTCATAATCTCGAAAACTTGCTGTTTGAAAAACATCAGAACATCGAAAACTCCTGAAACATTTATATAAGCAGGGAATCATTCAGAGATCCTTATAATGTAAAGCTTCGATGAACTGCAAAGGATGTCAAGATTCGAATTATGAGTTCCAAGAAACTGCAAACTTTGAAAGATTCAAAACATCGAGAAATTCCGAAAATCCTGAAATTTTTTAGAATGTCGAAATCCAAAACATCGAGTTCCTAAAACTCGAAATAAATTCCAAAACTCGCAATTCCAAAATTCTCAAATTTTAAAAACTCGAGGTTTAAAACTCGAGTTCATGACCGCGAGTTTACAAACTCGAGTTCATGACCGAGAGTTTACAAACTCGAGTTCATGACCGCGAGTTTACAAACTCGAGTTCATGACCGCGAGTTTACAAACTCGAGTTCATGACCGCGAGTTTACAAACTCGAGTTCATGACCGCGAGTTTACAAACTCGAGTTCATGACCGCGAGTTTACAAACTCGAGTTCATGACCGCGAGTTTACAAACTCGAGTTCATGACCGCGAGTTTACAAACTCGAGGTCATGACCGCGAGTTTACAAACTCGAGTCCATGACCGCGAGTTTACAAACTCGAGTCCATGACCGCGAGTTTACAAACTCGAGTTCATGACCGCGAGTTTACAAACTCGAGTTCATGACCGCGAGTTTACAAACTCGAGGTCATGACCGCGAGTTTACAAACTCGAGTCCATGAACGCGAGTTTACAAACTTGAGTTCATGACCGCGAGTTTACAAACTCTCGGTTTTAAAAACTGTCGAATTTTGAGAATCTGAAAAATGTTCTGAATAGCCCTGAAGGTCGCGATCCCTCCTGTATCTGTTCCAAGTCAAAATCGTTTCTGCAGGCATATAAAAGCATAAACTCGAGTTTTCAATGAGAGTTTTTCGAAAATGAAAATCTGCAGAAAACGAAAAAGAAGATATGCTGTAGAATCGGTTTTGAGAGGCGATTCCAACAGTATAATTTTTACAGATTTTCGTTCACAAACAAGATTACAGGAGCAAAACTCTATATGAAGAAAAAGAGAAGAAAAGCAGAGCATTCTTCGTTAGATCCAAGAAAATCGCAGATACATTCAACCTGTTTCACGCCTCGGCTCTGATACCAATTGATAATCCCAGAATACTTAACAAACAACAAATATAGCATTTATAGAAGAAGCAGATAGAAAGATATGAAGATATTATACGCGAATCTGGTATACCGTATGAAAACCCGCCGCTGCTCTCCCTGGAGAAGGAGAGCAGCGGCAAACCCTATCTCTCTCTATCTTTACGCCTCTAAACTCTAAGCCTCTATCGATCGTTAGGGTTCCCGTAAGTTAGCCTCCTTTTATAGGAGAAGTTAGCTAACTTACGGGTTACAAGGAAGCCCACGGGCTGATACACATTTGTGGCCCGTATTACACGTTTAATTGATAACTACACAAATACAAAGATAACTAACTAGATTGAACACCATAAAATATTCCCAACATCT